CTTCAGTCCAGAGCCCTCTGTTTCCTGTCTAGGAAGCAAACCTCCAGGCTCCTGCTGGGTAGATGGGGGCAGTCGCGCACTACAGTGGGGAAACCTAGGCAATCTGACTACTTCTGTAACAGGCTTTCAATCCATCTCATTCTAGCATCTCCTCTCTCATCCCCACTTCCAGAGGTGCCTGGTGCTGCCAACCACGAGCCATGTACCAAGCTATCATGTAAATCTGGATGGTTCTTGTCTTAGGATGGCCAGCTTAGCACTCAGTTTTCTTGTGTCTGCTAAATCATGAACTGTTTAACCAACTCGTTAAAAGCTTCCAAAATTATGTTGCTATGGTTCCCTTCTCCTCCCACCCCTGCCCCAATTCTTTTAAGTTTGGGGTTGAAAACACCACTGACGACAACAGCAAACCCTCTGTTTATATTTTTGTCGGGTCTGGGGGAGGGAGTGAAGTTATATTCATGTTTTGGAATCCCTGTCTTTACCCAAAGGTCTTTACTCTGTATTTGAAGACAACGCAAAAGGGAGTGGACAGAAGCAAAAAGGGGGAAAGGGCAACTATTAGCAATTGGGAAGGACAAATCAGTGAGGGGAGTGATGACTTCTCTGGAAATTGTTTTGTAAAAGAATGAATGCATGGTCAGTTTTGTATAGATGACCCCTCAAACTTCCTGTGGGATAGCTGTACCTGTTCCTCCTGCAACATAAAACACTCGGGTAAAGCTCTAGCTGGGTTGGCTCAGTGGATAGAGCGTTGGCCTGTGGACTGAAGGGTCTCAGGTTCAAGTCCGATCAGGGGCACATGCCCAGGTTGCTGGCTTGATTCTGGTTTGGGGGCATGTAGGAGGCAGCCAATCGATTATTCTCTCTCATCATATTTCTATCTCTTCCTCTCTGAAATCAAAAATATATTTAAAAATAAATAAATAAAAATAAAACACTCAGGTAAAAACAAAACAGTATAAAAAACAACAGATTTTAGAGGGGCATGGCCCTGTTAATACCTTGATTTCGCACTTCACAACTGGAAGACTATAATTTCTGTTGTTTTAAGCCCCCTGGTTTTCGGTACGTTATTCCAGCAGCCCTAGGAAACTAATTCAAGTTTCAAATGCATATCTACACTTGGTGGTTCCTTTGCTTGCAGAGCCCTTCCACAGAGAGCCTCCCTCACTCCCCACAGGTCCTGCTCAAATCCCACCTTTGCAGAGGCCACGTCCTACTATGCCACCAAAACTAGCAGTTCCTGCCTCTCTCCACTCCTTGGCCTCATTTATTTTTATTTGTGGTTCCTTAGCCATACCTGATATATATTGTATAGCTTTTCTTTATTGTCTGCCTGACCTTATGTAAGTATCATGAAAGTCTAATTCAGCCCAGCCAGTGTTGCTCAGTGGTTGAGTGTCGACCTATGAACCAGGAGGTCACAGTTCAATTCCTGGTCAAGGGCACATGCCTGGGTTTCAGGCTGGATTTCCAGTGTAGGGTGTGCGGGAGGCAGCCAATCAGTGATTCTCTCTCATCATTGATGTTTCGATCTCTCTCCCTCTCCTTACTCTCTGAAATGAATTAAAAAAAAAGAAAAAGAAAGAAAGTCTAATTCATGGCTGTAGGCTCATGTCTGATATAGGTAGGATCTCCACACACACTGTATTTGTTTCATAAATGAATGAACTACTTGACAGTCTGGTTTACTTTTGCTTTTTTATAGCCTTGACATTGCATTGCTCATAGTAGGTTCTCAAATATGTGCAGATGCACCAAAAAGCCCATCGCCATTAGTGGGCATAAGGCTCTGTAGGGTTAAGGGAGGAGTAAAAATGTGTAACACATTGGCCTGGTCAGGTGGCCTCTTTGCTATAAAACAATTGTGGGGACAATCGATCAGATTTCTCCAAGTAATCATTTGTTTGCCTCACACAGCCACTGTTTCTCTTGCATTGAACATCACCCCCACTTGCTCTATTTTTCTGATTAAGGAAACAGAATTGAGTAATCTAAATTTAGTTTGTGTAGCTCAGAGATGCCAATCATGGCACATAATGAATTAGGCGATTCCTCTCACCCCCCTTCCCTGAAGCATTGAGCTGAAACCAACAAGTTCATTTTATTGAGGACCACGGGCTGAACTGGAGCGCTGTCTGTGACAGTGTTTTCCTCACTAATTAAGTCACCAGCTCAGGCAACCTTCACAAGGTGGGGGTGCCGCTTATCTGAGTTGGTCCAGAGACTGCTTTGGCCCTCTGTTTGCAAAGGGAAGTGGTATATAATTTTGTTACAAATACGTAAGCCAGAATAAAATGCACTTATGTAACATAAATATGTAAATAAAATGTACACACACGCATACATGTATATAAACCTCATATAATTTTGTAAATGTCTTTAGTCTTTCAAGGGCCTTCCTTTCTAGTTTTCTTAGTAAACCCATATTTAGAATTCACAATTTCTGGGTAAAGGGCTGTTTTCTAATCAGTTTTGAAAAGAGCCGGTATAAAGCACATTTTATGTGCTTTCATTTCATAAAAACATTAAAAAGTACTCGTTGGAAAGCTGTTATATTTGATATTTGTAAGAAATAAATCATAGGTTAGAAATACCGATTGCTATGGTACTCTCTTTAGGGGAAGAATAATGAAGTTCTGTTCCCATTTATAACCTCTGAGTCTTTATATGCACACCAGGTTTTATTTATTTATTTGGAATTTCTCAATGTGTACTCTGTTGTGTAGAACTTCTCTCTCTGCATAATGATTCATCCACATTTTGCTGGTATCAGTACTTCACTAAAATCATTTATTTCCAATTACAGTTTACATTCAATATCATTTGTATTGGTTTCAGGTGTACAGCATAGTGGTCAGGTTAGACAATCAGATACTTTATGAAGTGTTCCCACCAATATTTCCAGTACCCACTTGGTACCCTACATAGTTATGACAATATTATTATTTATATATATATATTTAATATATTTTTATTGACTTCAGAGAGGAAGGGAGAGGGAGAGAGAGAGATAGAAACATCAACGATGTGAGGGGATCATTGATTGGCTGCCTCACGCATGCCATGCACTGGGGATCGAGCTCACAACCCGGCATGTGCCCTGACCAGGAATCAAACTGTGACATCCGGGTTCATAGGTCGACTCTCAACCACTGGGCCACACTGGCTGGGTTATTACAATATTACTGATTATATTTCCTATGTTGTACTTTACATGGCCATCAACCAGGAGGTTTTACACATGAGGAATTTTGGCTGGGCTTTTTAAGTCAGTAAAAATGAAAATGCAAGATGTGAGTAAAATGTATGAAATGGTGCAAATTCATTTTTTAAAATGTTATTATGTTGGTATATTTAATAAAGTATGTTTTGTGAGCTTCTTTCTCCTTTCTGGTCAGATACAAAGTTAGCCCCTCCCAACTGTTGAAGATGTGAGATGTGGCACCTTCATGCCTTGTCACTAATCACCAGCATTGGCCTGGGAGGGGCCTGAAGGCCCTGGTTATCTGCACCTGGCAGGAGGGGCACAGCATCCCCATGGAGGGTGGCTTATCCAGGCTCCCTGAGGTGGTTGAGAAGAGCTCATGTAGCTCAGACATCTGAAACCCGGGGCCTTTTCTAGTTCTCTGGCGTTGTCTACAGTTTTATCCAGCACAGCATTTCAAAATGTAGAGTCTTTCTGTGTAGTTTATTTAAAAGAAATAGATTTAGGCTTTAGGTAGAGAAGTATATTATCTATAATTATCACCTCTGGAAAGGGCAAATTAAACGAACGCTTGCTATGAGAGTAGAGCTAGCAAAATGTATATATAGGAAGCAGTTGATACTTGGAGCAAGTTTCACTGTCTGCTTTTCGAGAAACATCTCTTGCTTGGATTTGAAGGTCGTGTAGGTAATAGGAAAGGCAATCTCTGTAATGAGACATTTTACACTGGGCTCATCCATAAGGAGGGCTAACTTCAATAATAAACTAAACCAATCACGAGCACTCGTTTTAACTACAGGAAATTGGTTTTAACCCAATCTAGACTTCATCTGGTGGAATGTTCCACCTGGCTTGCGGCCTTACTTTGCCCACATGTTATAGAGGACTTTTCTGGCCTATTTCAAATTACATTAGTCTTCCCTCCCCCATCTCCCTATGTCGCTTACTTTTTCTTTCTAATGCTCATCATCACCCAAAATAGTACATATTATTATTATTTTGTCTCCCCTAAATCCCATGAAAAGCCCTTGTCTGTTCTGTTCACTGCTGTTTTCTCAGTGTACATAGTAAGTGCTCAATAATTGTTCAGTGAATGAATGAACGAATGATGCCCGAGAGCTTTCTGTTATAAGGGTTGTTGGTCTCATTCTACACGATGCGCTGAACATCTGGGCACGGTTGGGGTGTGGGGGTGGGGGGTCGGAGGTGTGGGAATGGCTAGAAATGAGGGAGGTTCCTGTGCTCCCTGCGCAAACCATTCCTCTAAGAACTGCATTTGCCTTACTGGCTTTCACTTTTCGTAACGTTCTCATGTTAGCAGTATAATCTTGAAACTGAATAATCATGACATGAGTCTCTAGTATAAAATAATTCCTTTGCCTATTCTGAAAACAAAGCAAAACAAAACAAGGTCTGCACAGTTGTGCTGTAACCGGGCAAGCAAACTGGAGAACTGAGTCGAAGCATCCTAATACCTAAGTAACAGTAATGGAAATATCTAGAAAGTCCTTGGCTGTGGCTATGGCTCCTGCCTTAGTGAGGTTGGCACGTGCCTGCAACCAGGGCATTCGTCCAGGACGACCCGGAGTCTAGCGGGACTTTAGGGCACGGACTTGCGGTGGAGGAGGGGGTGGGCGGGGGCCACGAGCGCAGCCCTGAACCTGGGGGCGGGGCTGCGGCTGAGCGGGCTTCCTGCGAAGGGCGTGGCTTCGCTTTGCCCCGCCCCGAAGCCGGGTAGTGAAGGTGGCGGCGCGCCTCGGGGGCGCGGGGGAGACGCGAGCGAGATCAGGTGCGGGCGGCGGAGGGGCGCCCTGGGCTCGGTGCTGGGGCCCCGCTGAGCGCGCCGCCACGGCAGGGATCCAGGGCCGGCGGAGGCCGCCCCGGGAATGCTCTCGCTCCGCCTCAACATGGCTGCGGCCTTGCGAACCGCGGGCGCTCTGCTCCGCGACCGAAGTAAGTGGGGTTGTCTTGGCAGCAGCCGACGCCGGGGTCCCTGCGACGGCGGGACGGCGGGCAGCTCCCCGTCTCCTGTCCTCCGGCCTGGGGGCTTCCGGGAGCGGCGTGCACTGCGCAGGAAGCGGCGCGGGTGGGGCGAGGGGCGGAGAAGGGGCTAGAAGGGACCCTCCCCTGGCAGGGTCCAGAAGGGTGCCTGGGTCACCTGGGGGCCCTGGGAGGCTGTGGGGAGGGAGCATGGGGTCTCACCGGTCAGCTGGGTGACTGTCAGTAATGGCAGACCCTTGGAACATTCAACAGCTATTTATTTATTTATTTATTTATTTATTTATTTATTTATTTATTTAATTTCTTTTTAAAAATCCTCACCGACGATATTTTTTCCCCCATTGATCTTAGAGAGAGTGGAGAGAAACATGACATGATCTTAGAGAGAAACATGACAGATTGCCTCCTGATATGCACCCCCTGGGATTGAACCTGCAACCAGGGCATGTGCCCTGACCCGGAATCCAGCTGGTGACCTTTCAGTGATCGGTGGATTCTCCACCAACTGAGCCACACTGGCCAGGCCCATAGTCTTCGTTCTTATCTGTAGAGTCAGAATAACCACAGTCACAGGATGGTTGTGAGGATTACTGTGGGACATATGTTGAGGGCCTGCCATAGGGAGGACTACTGAAGGCATTGTCCACCCAGCTCAAGAGATTCGGGAGTCTAGAAATAAATGACACAGTTTTACTTAAGGATCTTAGGGTTTGCAAAGAGGAAACACAGTTAGGCAATACCCAGAGTGTTCCGAAGGAGAAAGAAAAGTTTGAGAGTTTTATAGTAAGAAGTACATGTTTGAAAAAAATTCAGCCCTAGCTGGTTTGGCTCAGTATATATAGAGCATCAGCCTGCGGACTGAAGGGTCCTGGGTTCGATTCCAGTCAAAGGCACATGCCCGGATTGGATTGCAGGCTCGATCCCCAGTAGGGGGTGTGCAGGAGGTAGATGATCCATGATTCTCTCTCATCATTGATGTTTCTATCTCTCTGAAATCAATAAAAATATATTTAAAAAAATTCAGTCCTGCATTCTTAGCCATTGGGTTGGCTCAAGATGGTAATCTCCAGATGTCCAGTGCTGTGAATAATGGAGCATTTCCTTCTTGAGGTCATTACGATGGTTCACTGAAGGTTTGATGTATGTCCAGACTGATGCATAAAGGACTAATGTGCATCCAGGTATTGACGAAGGATTGGAAAGGTCAGAAATTTAAGTTCCCAGGCTAGTTTAGACAAGAATAGAATTGTTTCCTTATGCCTCAGCTTACTTTCTTTCAATAATTTAGCAGCTTGACCATAGTGACTCCATTTTATTTCTTCATTCTATTCTTCAACATCATCATCATCATGGGCGTCTACTCTTGGCTTCTCTCCCTGGTGATGGAAGGAAAATGTGCCCACTGCTTCGCTGCACTAGCCCCTGACCCCTTGCATCATCTGGTGCTCACTTGTCCTTGGCAGCAGGACCCACTAGCCTGGGCTAGTGTTTCCTAGAGGTATTTGGAAAACAAATACGACCCATTGACAACTCCACACATTTCTGATGCAAACCCTTTGAATGTAGGTTGTGTCTACAGCATGAACTGATGGGACTCTGGGTCAGACACACTGGGTTGGGACACAAGCTCTGCACCATTCTTAACTGTGACCCCTTGAGCATGACACTGAGCCTGGCTTGAGCTTTAGTAAATGTAAAAGGGGTAGGGTAGTACCTCATAGGCTTGCCATGAAGATTAGCTGGATACACACTATCCTAGCATGCAACACATACATGGAGACCCTCAAAATGTTCATTATTGTGTGAACGTCTGCCACATTCTAAGATGCTAAATTAATGCATTTGAACCGTGACTGGACACAGCTGATTTATTTTTCTAAGAAATTTCCTAATTGGTCAGTCTGGCACCTACTGAGAGGGAATGGAGAGAATCCATTCTGAACCTCCGTATCTTATTACAGGTGCCTTTGTTAGGAAAATAGTAAGAACCCAGAAGTACAATGAGGATCAGGTCACTAAGGGCACGGGGTGACAAAAGGCATGATCTTTTAAGAAGAGGAAGCACAGTGGCAGTTATGGGGCTGAAAGAAGTATTGGGGCGGAAAGATTTGACATCTAGTTGTATTACAGACTCTGATGTTAAGATGTAGTTATAATACTTGTTTGATATGAAGGGATTAACATTATCTGGATAGAAAAAATTGAGTAGTATTTCTGAAAATGAATTCTGAAAGTAAGAGTGGAAAAGCAAAGTTTTACATTCTGTTTTTAGCATATGGCTCCCTGGTTTCATTATATGTTGTTTCTCTTAGAGTCGTAGGACCTATTGATGTTGTTAAGTGAGGATTTACTGTATTCTTACCTCTTGCTTAACCACATGCAGCGTGCCTGGTACTGTTCTTGGGGCTGGACGGAGAATGCTTTGTTCCCCTAATCTTCATAACAGCTCTGCGCGATTGACCTTATCTCCATTTTACAGACAAGAAAAGTGAGGCGTGGAGTAACTCACTGAGTTGCCCAAGCACTGCCCTGCAGCTTGTTGGTCCTATCAGGGGTTTTTGCTCAGGTCTCTCTGGCTCCAGAATACATACTCTCTATACACACAGTGCTGCCTGTGCCTATGGATTGCTCTTTTTTTTTTTTTTTAATTAAATCTTTATTGTTCAGATTATTACATTTGTTCCTCTTTTTCCCCCCCATAACTCCCCTCCTCCCAGTTCCCGCCCCACCCTCCGCCCTCACTCCCCACCCACTGTCCTCATCCATAGGTGCACGATTTTTGTCCAGTCTCTTCCCACATCTCCCACACCCCTTTCCCCCCCAAGAATAGTCAGTCCATTCCCATTCTATGTCCCTGATTCTATTGTAATCACCAGTTCATACTGTTCATCAGATTATTTATTCACTTGATTCTTAGATTCACTTGTTGATAGATGCATGTTTGTTGTTCATAATTTGTATCTTTACCTTTTTCTTCCTCTTCCTCTTCTTAAAGGATACCTTTCAGCATTTCATATAATCCTGGTTTGGTGGTGATGAACTCCTTTAGCTTTTCCTTATCTGTGAAGCTCTTTATCTGACCTTCAATTCTGAATGATAGCTTTGCTGGATAAAGTAATCTTGGTTGTAGGTTCTTGGTATTCATCACTTTGAATATTTCTTGCCACTCCCTTCTGGCCTGCAAAGTTTCTGTTGAGAAATCAGCTGACAGACGTATGGGTATTCCCTTGTAGGTAACTGAGTTTCTTTCTCTTGCTGTTTTTAAGATTCTCTCTTTATCTTTTGCTCTTGGCATTTTAATTATGATGTGTCTTGGTGTGGTCCTCTTTGGATTCCCTTTGTTTGGGGTTCTCCGTGCTTCTTGGACCTGTAAGTCCATTTCTTTCACCAGGTGGGGGAAGTTTTCTGTCATTATTTCTTCAAATAGGTTTTCAATATCTTGCTCTCTCTCATCTTCTGGCACCCCTATAATTCTTTTTTTTTTTTTTTTAAATATATTTTATTGAATTTTTACAGAGAGGAAGGGAGAGAGATAGAGAGTCAGAATCATCGATGAGAGAGAAACATCGATCAGCCGCCTCCTGCACATCCCCCACTGGGGACGTGCCCGCAACCCAGGTACATGCCCTTGACTGGAATCGAACCTGGGACCCCTCAGTCCGTAGGCCGACGCTCTATCCACTGAGCCAAATCGGTTTCGGCACCCCTATAATTCTGATGTTGGTACGTTTGAAGCTGTCCCAGAGGCTCCTTACACTATCCTCGCATTTTTGGATTCTTTTTTCATTTTGCTTTTCCGGTTGGGTGTTTTTTGCTTCCTCGCATTTCAAATCATTGACTTGATTCTTGCGCTCCTCTGGTCTGCTGTCGGGAGTCTGTATAATATTCGTTATTTCAGTCCGTGTATGCTTAATTTCTAGTTGGTTCCCCAATATAACATCGAGGGTCTCATTAGTTTTCTTGTAGATCTCATTAAGTTTATCGGCGGCTTCTAAACAGTTCTTTAGAGACCTTAAAAGTGTGGTTCTGAACTCTATATCTTCCATTGACAATTTTGTCCTGTTTCTTTGTCTCCGCATTTTGTTATGCTTCCTTGGTGCACCCCCTAGTGGTCTTTGTGCGCAGTCTTATAGTTAAACCTTGTTGTAGCTAATTCCAGGGAGGGTTTGACCTCCAGGCCAGTGGCTATGAGAATCAGCTGTGTCTGCAGTGAGAGAACTTCTGTCCTCTAGGGAGGTGCTAATCTAGCCTTTGCCTGAGGCTATCCGGCAAATGCCTCTGTGCAGGGCTTGGGCGGGGCGGGTCGCACAGGATCAACAGGGTGGGCTGGAGAGAGCAGTTATGGCGGCTCTCAGTCCTGTCCCCAGGGGCTCTGCCTCTCTGAGTCCCAGCACCCGCTGCAAACCTCGGAGAGAAAGCTGCACTCGCTCTGACCGAAGCCAGACAGTCCCGCTTCTCCCGTTTGAGTCTGGGTCCCTAAAGACTCGCCCGGATCTGGAGCTCAGAGTCTGCGACTCCCTCCTGATTGAAATCGCCAACCTCGCCCTCCGTCGCCAGCCCGCTCCGCGCACTCCGCACCTCAGAATTTGACTTCAGCACTGCGCCTCCTCTGAGTGTCCGTATGCGTTTCTCTTTCCTCCTAGTTGTAGGACTTCCACTCAGCCAGCGTTCCTGTGGTTCTGGGTGATGTCCGTTCCGTCTTTTAGTTTCACTTTTGAAGTAGTTGTTCAAGGCAGCAAACTCCTGCGTTAACCTATGCCGCCATCTTGGTTCTCCTCCAGCCAAGTTCTGGATTGCTCTTGTGTGAGCTATGTATATTCAGGGGCCTCAGTTGGCCCTTCGAATGATCACTTTAAACTCCTTTAGCTAGATGAACACTAATCTTTTAGTAGGAGACACTGTTTCTCTAGAACCTTCAGATCATTAGGGAAGAGGTGTGTTTTAGAGAAGTCTTTGAGAGGTGGGTATAGGAACTCTTAAGTCCTGAGCAGACAGGATCCATGATTAGTAACACCCTCCTCCTCTGAGAATTTATTCAACCATAGAGAAGAGAATTTGGTAAACAGAGGGCATTACAATAGCCTGGCAGCTCAAATAGCTCCCAGCTCCTAAATTGTTCTAGGTACTAGTTGGAGGCTCTTGTCTCACCCTACCCCTTTTTAAGGTTCACAGGAGGAAGTTTTATTGTATTACCAGCAGTCATATTATGGGATGCCAAAGTTCTGTTCTCATACTCCATGGAATCTGATATAATCTCACTCATATGAGGAATTGCAGACATTGTGGCATGATGGAGAACCTGGTTAAATCTCATCATGCAGTTCAGAATTTAGCGCGTCTAAAATAAGGAGATGTGGGTTGATTTGAGACTTCAATTGAGCAGCATTGAACTGCTTTATGTCAGTTGTTGCACTTCCACTTTGAGTTAGTAAGGATTATTCAGCACAACTCATGTAATTGGCTCTGCCGGAATGGTCACAATCTGGGTAGCTGGAACTCTCAGGAGCCTGGAGATACCATTCTCCTGTATTTTATAGACATTCTAGGTGATAAAAATCAGCAGGTGTGGTCCCTATGTGCTACACGCTTACAGATGAAACTAACGCCAGCATTAATCACATGTAGCAGACCCCTTGCAGAATGCTTCACTGAACTTAATCTGCTATAATCCTCACAAGGATCCCCATAGCAACGCCAGCATTTTGCACCCAGGGAAAGGAAGGCTCGGAAATGTAATCCGGCCCTGGTCACATTACTAAGAAGAGGCAGAACTGGATTCAGAGTCAGATCTGCTGGTCCCCAGCCCAAGTTCCTTACCAGGACACCTATGACTCATAAGTAGGAGGAGGAAGGAGACTGGTCTCAAGCTGGTTTCAAATTTGTTGGTTTAAGGATATGAAAGGGAGGTCATGTGTCCAGTGTGGGACTACAGTCGAGTATGGCCCATGGACTCCTCAATTCAGGTGGGTTCTCTAAGCCCACCCCTAACTCTTATGGGGCCCAGGGCAGGAGTACACGTGGAGAGCTGTATATGTGGGACAGCAAGCTAACAAACTGTGCCATATATCCTGTTTTTCTACACTGATAAATGGACCTTCATATCAACCTGGAAGGGTGAACTCCCGAACTCTTCTGAGTTCCTGCAGAAATGTGGAGGCTTTGGGAGACATGCCACTGGCCTGCAGGCCTCCCTGCTCCTCCCACTGCTGGCCCTGCGTACACATGTGTGGACTTTCCAGTTTGTATGTTCAAGCTCCCTTCTTGCCCCTGCAAACAGCCACTCCTTGGGTCCCCATCAAGTCGACATCACGCTTACATTGGTTGCATGACCAGCTCTCTGGAGGATGGGCCTAGGAAAGGGACCTGTGCAGACCCTGGAAGTGGGTGTGGGACTTTGGGGGTATGGAATTCCGGGGTTGTGGGGATGTGGGGTTTGGACTCTGGGGGTCAGTTAATCATTGGCATGCAGACTACATACCCCATGGAGTGGGGTGCAGCAGGGAGAGTGCCAGAATGGGGCCTCTAAAGCGAGGTCCCCCTTGTCAGGGTCCAAGGGCAGTGCTGGTGGAAAACTGGCCCAGCTTCCCCTTCTTAAGTCAGTGGCTCTTAGCCTCTTGTGCAGGCTTCTCAGCTTTCATAGGAGCAGCATGCTGCCATCAGTAACTTTTAGAAGGTGCAGTAATTCTCATGAAGGGTCCTATCAAATCTGCGGCCAAGGCAGGGAGGGGAGGTGTGTGGTTTCTAAAAAGGCTCCCTCAAGGTCCTGATAAGCCATCCTAGGGGGCGCCACCATGTCCCCTTGGAGACACCTTAAGTGCCTTCACCCTCCTGCAGAGAAATAAGTCGGGGCGGGGGGGGGGGGGGGGCGTTCAACTCTGCTATTACATCTCTTTAAATTTTAAATCTAGGAATTATGCTCTGAGGACCACTTCAAAAGAAATTACTTTCCAGCTAGATTTCATGCTTCCACTTTAATTTTGTCACAGTGGTGCCTGGCAGCTCAAGGGCCCGACAGCCATGGAGGTGCCAATCAGATGCAGCAGCCGCAGCAGTAGCCACCACAGAAACAGCCCAAAGTGCCAGAAGCCCAAAACCTCAAGTTCAACCGGGGAAGAGGTATGAGTCTAATTTTAGGCACCAATAAGGATTTCTCTTTACTGAAGCAAAGACCAGTAGATACAAGCTCCCCAGGAAAAAAGGTGCTGGGAAAACCCAGTATATGAGGAGCAGGATGTTATATTCTTGGCTTCCTTTCAATAGCTGTCAAATTATTAAACAGATTTCACACCCCCTCCTCTTAGGTCTTTAAAATAAAAAAATATTTTTTTTACAGATTTTTTATCATTAATTAATTAATTAATTTATTTTTCAGCTTTGTTGAGATAATGTTCCCACAGGGCTTTTGTTAAAGGACACAGAGTTGAGTACAAGCAGTCTACAAATCATGTAGGAATTTTGTTCTGGAACATGTCACATAACACAAATTATATGTATGCTGGAAATGTATTTATGAACCTAACATAATTATACCTATGAAATGTATGTCCTGTTCAGGATAAAGAATAGCTAATCTACCAAGAATTAGTTATTAGCTGGGTATCCTCTTTCATAACAGAAACCACAGCTGTTCTGAAGTTTTATTTTGGTACAGACTATAAAGACAATTATTTAAATGAGTACATAGATAGAATACTGCATTTGAACACTAAGCACCGTGAAAGAAAGTAGTGTGAACTATTTAACCCCTTGATCTTTCTGGTAGATCTGATATTCCATGAAAGTTATACAGCTGTGAAAATATAATAGTCTTTTTTGTGTGTTTTTGTTATTATTATTATTTTTTTAGATCGTTAAAATTGATTTTTTAAGAAGAGGGGGAGAGCGAGACAATGTGAGAGAGCTAAATATCAATAGGCTGCCTCCTGTATGCCCCCTACTGGGGATTGAGCATGCAAGCCAGGCATGTGCCCTGACCAGGAATTGAACCAGCAACCTGTTGGTGCACAGGATGATGTTCAACCAGCTGAGCCACACCAGGCAGGGCGTGTTTGTTGTTTTTCTCTGTGTGACCAGAGATACATTGAGTGCGAAGTAACAGATGTGTAGGGGATAGGGCATTAGGTGTGGGGCCCCAAATCATCTCCTTTCAACTCTCTGGTTTCCTAAAAGTTTGAGTCTGGTGAGGAAGCACAGCTACTCCCCGTTCTGGCGTGCTGAGCAGGGTACCATTCTGCCTGGCCACCCATGGTCCTTCTTCTCACTTCAGCCATAGTACAAAGTGCTTTAAGTCCTTAGGGTACTTGGTGTAACCCAAAGAACTGATTCGATGTGGAACCCTGGAAAGAAATTATTTCATTATTGTATTATTTGAGTGGCAAAAGTCAATAATGTAACTAGTCTTAATATGAATTTATTAACATTTAAAAAATATTAACAAATAGAAATTAAATAATTTTATATCTCATTTATGCTAAAGAAATGTGTTCATTTTAGGAACTACAGACAGGCAAAAAAAAAAGATAAAAAACAGCGGTAATCTCACCATCAGTATGTTGTCTCTATATCTGTGTCTATTAATATTCACTCAGTATATATTTACAAAAATGGACAATACTGTACATACTTTTATAACTTCTTTTTATTTAACAATATGTCACCATGTAAATATAAGCATCCTACATTATTTTAATAATATAGGGTATTAAATAATAATTTATATATCCGGTCCCATATTATGGGGCATGTAGATTATTTCTAGTTTTTGGATATTGGAAATGATGAAGTAATGAATGTCTTTCTGATGCCAGACATTGTGAAGGCATTATGCTGCTTAGTGCTTAGACTAGTCTAGGCAGACAATCTTAGACTAACACTCTACTAGACCAGGAGTCAGCAACCCTACCTGTAAGGGGCTACTAGATAGTAAATGTTTTAGGCTTTGTGGGCCATTTGGTCTCTTTTGCTGCTATTCAACTCTCTTGTTATCATGTGAGAGCAGTCATAGATCACATGTAAATAAATGAGCTGCATTCCAATAAAACTTTATTTAAAAAACAAGGGGTGGGGGCGCGCCCTGACGGGTTTGGCTCAATGGATATTAAAAAAAAAAAGCGGGAGGTGGGGTGTGTGTGTGCAGGTTGCAGATTTGGCGCATGGATTTTAGTTTGCCACACCCTGTCCTAGAGGCAGCATGGACCTTCAGGACAGTTACATCTTGTGCGTTGACTACATACAGTAGAGTAGAATTCTATTTGTTAATTGATGAGCTAAGTTTCTGTGATGTACCATTAATAGTTCAAAGGAAAAACCTCATATTAGGAGAGTCTCAGAATATGGAAATGGAAAAATGTTGATACCTTTTCAAGTGAGAAGTTTTATTTTTTTTATTTTTTTAAAATATATTTTATTGATTTTTTACAGAGAGGAAGGGAGAGAGAGAGTTAGAAACATCGATGAGAGAGAAACATTGATCAGCCGCCTCCTGCACATCTCCCACTGGGGATGTGCCCGCAACCCAGGTACATGCCCCTGACCGGAATCGAACCCGGGACCCTCCAGTCCGCAGGCCGACACTCCATCCACTGAGCCAAACCGGTTTCGGCTCAAGTGAGAAGTTTTAAATATATTTTGCTCCATACATTTTTACATTCAAACAAAGGGAACCTGGCTATTTAGATCTTGGTTTCAAATGTGCTCTGTCTAAAGGGGCAAAGAGACAGAGACCCTTGACTAAAGCTTTGTACTTCACATTTTGGAAAAGGGGTGTGGGGCCAGGGCTTACTAATGCACCATTCGTTATGCACAACACAGTTTTGAATTAAGTGCATGTGTATTAGGTATTCTCAAATCATGTGCATCTCTTTCAAGTATAAGATCAACATGCTTTACAAAACCTGGGTTTGCAGGGCAGGGTAACGGCCCATTTACAGCCACTCTCGTTCTGAGCTCAGGTGTAGATGAAAAACAGTTCTAAATCCCCTTTGTACATTGACACCCTCCGTGGCTTAGGTAAGTCGCTTAGCCTGGGGTCTCTTAACCACTAATCTATTAACTGGCAGCAATCCATGGAAAAATGCACTTAATTTATTGTGGGTCACAGGTTTTGAAAGTGAAAGATAGAATCCCAGGAGAACACTGGTGGTCTAAGTAGAAAGATTAGGGGAATATTACAATTTCACAATATAATGAAGCGGGAATTTTCAGGTATCAAGAAATGAAAACTAAGCACGTTGGTTAATTCGTTGAGAGGATTCCTGGTCAGAGGGGGTGGAAAAGTTGTAGAATAATGACGTTTTCAGTGTAGTTGTGCGGTTTAATAAAAGGAGATTAAACCCCCTCCCTCTAATACAGTGGTCTCAAGCAAGGGTTGAGGTATACTAAGTAGTGCTGTTGCCATCTACTAAGCAGAGGCCAGGGATGCTGCCTCACCTCTACAAAGCACAAAACGGCCCTCCACAAGCAAGTGTTATCCAGCCCAAAATGTCAGCAGTGCCGAGGCTGAGAGAAGACAAGGAGGTGAAAGTGAACTTAGAGACTCTTTATAATGGGGTCTAAATAGGCAAATTCCTGACTCCATTTTGATGCAACGTTTTCCTTTTCCCAGGAATTGGTTCTGGTTTTGAAAATTCAGGCTGAATTTAGATTCAGGTGAATTTAGATTTCTACCTCATTCACCTACGGTATGCTTAATCAGAAAAACAGTTTCCACCTATGTCGATGTGGCACACTCTGCTGTCCACCATGCCAAAGGTTGCTAACAGCTGTTTAGCAGTTGCAAATGAAATGTCACCATGACATCATTAGCTGCAGAGCACATCCAGGACAGGCTTCCGAACAAGAGCCCTCTCAGCAGGACTGCGTAGTCACTGTGGTCGCTAGCAGTGGTCCCGATGTAGGCGATGGAGACGGTGCACTTGTAATAATGGTGTTTTGGGTAAACCCCGGACTAGTTATTTCTCAGCTGCTTTATCAAGAGTGACTGGAGAGTGCATCTTCACAGTGGAATATTAGTCAGCCACGAAAAGGAAGGAAGTACTGGTGGATGCTACAACATAGATGAATCTTGAAAATTTTATGCAAAGTGAAAGAAGCCAGACACAAAAGGCCACATATTATATGATTCTGTTCCTGTGAAATATCCTAAATAGGCAAACCCATAGACCCAGGAAGTAGATTAGTGGGAGTGGCTCTAATGGGTACAAGGTTTTTTGGGGGGATGAAATGTTCAGGAATTAGGTACTTGTGATAGTCACATAACTTCGTGAATATATTAAAAGCCACCGAATTGTACCAGTTTAAAATGGTAAATTTTATAAAATGTAAATTATATCTAAGTTTTTTAAATGAGAAAAAAGGAATGGAAGATATACGCCCATGTTTCCTTTAGTTTACCCACTTGCAGACTCTCTTACTGTCATCACATAGCTGCCTGTTCCTGGGACACACAGGCCTCCAGGTCATGGTCCTGCCTCAGGCCCTGACCTCATAGTTCCCAGTCTCTGTCGTGGTCTCTGGAGGCTTCCAGAAGCCTTCTGGACGCACTGGGCCCTGTTCTGGCTCCACCTTGCCCCTGGCAGGTTTCTGGCCTGGCTCACGTCAGCCTGTGTAGGCTCCAGGCTTGCTCTGGATTTTAGAAGTTTGCATTTTGCATAGGCCTTTTGTGGATTTGATTTCTCTGATGCTGCTTGACTTAAAACTTTTAAAAAATATGTTCTTATTGATTTCAGAGAGAGGAAGGGAGAGGGAGAAGGCGAGAAACATCAATGATGAGAGAGAATCATTGATCGGCTGCCTCTTGCACACCCCCTACTGGGGATCGAGCCCACAACCCGGGCCTGTGCTCTGATAGGGAATTGAATCTTGACCTGGTTCATGGGTTGATGCTCAACTACTGAGCAACGTCGGCTGGATTTGACTTAAAACTTTTATGACAGAGTTTTGCCTTCTTTTTGCTTCTCCTTGCTCATTCAGTGCTTCATTCTTTAGGCTGGAACTGATTTAAATAAATTAGACAGTTTTTTACAGGAATTACTTAAAGCAGTAAAGGTAGGTGCTGGAGAAGGAAGGAGGGTAGCAAGAAATAATTTACATCAGTACTCATTTCATTTAATAATGGATAAAGAGAAGGTATCAGAGTGAGACATGGGCCGGCATACAGTTGTAGGGGAACCCCAGGCTTCTCTGTGTCTAATAGAACTTTCTGCGTGCACCAATCATGCTAAGTGACTAAGTACATTCTCCATTTAGTTCTCAAAATATCCGTTTGAGGCAGGTGGTAGTCTGTCTGTTTACAGACGAGGAACCTGAAGTTTGGAGAGATCAGGGAACCTGTGTGTTCATAAGGCATTCACTTGAACAGGTGCTTCAGCTCAGGACAATTTTAGATCACACCTTGACTCAGCCCCCAAAGCCTGGGACCTTCGTTCAGGGCTGACAGTTCAACAGAGAAACATTTTGAGCCTGGCGAAGACCAGTGCCATGGATGGAGCTCCGAGATGAAGGTCAGAGTCTGAGCTGGGGCCGCACGGACCTGGAGGCCCCGTGTGCTCCCGGACAGGTAACCGTGGGATGGCAGCGCACAGGTCTGCAGCGTTTTACCTCTGCATCGAACTGATTCGATGAGGGTTTGCTAGCCGAGCCAAGATTCCTCCGTGGAGGGAAATAAGAAGTGTTACAAATCAACCACTGCATTTTCTTTTCGGCAGGAAGCCGAAGACTGGGATACTGATGCTAAACATGGGGGGCCCTGAAACCCTCGGAGACGTCCACGACTTCCTCCTGAGGCTCTTCTTGGACCGAGACCTAATGACACTTCCTATTCAAAAGTAAGCTCCCCGTGAACACCTGTGCTTATTCATAACTTGTCCCGTGCGTTTCACCTTATGTGCATCTCAGCTCTACAGTCTCAAAAAGTAAGCGTTTTTAATGCATGTCTGGTAGTGGCTAGAGCAGCAGCACGATTTTCTATTAGATGTGAGAAGGCTGTGATATTGCAGGAGAGAGACAGCAGGTCAGTGAGTGTTCTTGAGCCTGGCCCGCCCAGAGCCCTAGAGAGCAGTTGTCTGACACAGCCGAGGCCCCGGTAAAGATCTGTAGAGATGGGTTTGTTCCTGTACTGAGCAGCTGGTTATTCATTTGTGCTGCGGGTGTAAAACTTATACATGTGTACAATAAAAACGCCAATGGTGTAAGGATGCTTACCGTAAAAGGCAGGCCTTCCTTTTACCTTGGACTCCAGCCTCCCAGTGAGCCACCCTGGAGGTGAGTGCTCTTACATCCAGGAATAGTCCATGTATATCCAAGCACATGTGTGTGTACACATGTATATCCCCCCTTTTCTTTACACAGATGTGAATGTAATTATGTATATTATTAGGTACGTGACTATTTTTCCCTTCGAATTTAATGTGTCTTGGAGATTGTTCACTAACAGCTTACATAGACCTGGCTCATTTTTTTCATGATGTAAGGAATTGGTTGGGCCTTAATTCATTTAGCCAGTGCCTCATGGATGGACATTTACATTGTTTACACTGTTATAATGAACATTCTTTTGCATACACCTTTGCTCACATATGCAACTATATCTATAGGATTAAGATGCATTTTCTTACATTGAGAGGACTATGTAAGAAAATGCGTATTAATTCTGTCTTATACGTCACAGTCCCTGGTAGGTGCAGGATCGGGAGGTGTTAAGATCGTAGCTGGCGCACATCCAGGGTCTCTGCCCACTTGTTGGGGGTCTGACTGTTCAGGGTGCTAGAACAGCTGCGGGGCAGAGGCAGCTGCCCCTCCGAGAGTGCCCAGTTTTCTCTGTAATCGAGGCCGAGAGAGCTGGCCCTCGTTAGTGACTTCCAGCTCCCGTTCCCAAAGGCTTGGCCTTCTTAGACTCTTTAAAATTCTGCTTATCTTTATCTTATTGAGTAGAAAATGATTCTGAGTTGCTAAGGTGGAGTAGAATTCACGTACCCTCATGTTAAATGATTTAGTAGGCTGGCACCAATCATCGCCAAACGTCGAACCCCCAAAATCCAGGAGCAGTACCGCAGGATTGGCGGCGGATCCCCCATCAAGATGTGGACTTCCAAGCAAGGAGAAGGCATGGTGAAGCTGCTGGACAAGATGTCCCCACACACAGGTGCGTGCTTCTTAACGAACATCTCGCTAGTAGTTATGAAACTCAGAACACCACCGCCTGCCAAGTGCAGTCTGTGTCCCGGCCCCTCGCGCTTTGTGGGGGTTCCCGTGTGGTGCACCGTCACTTAGTTCTCGAGGTCTTTTCCCTTGTCCTCGGCTGTAGACCCTTTTCTGCTACTTCCTTATGTGACAGACTAAAAAGCTAAAGATCTGGAACATTAGTTTCCAAAGGTAGTGTGAGGTGCGCATGAAGTTGGGCTAGAGTATAAGGAAGAGACGACATACACTGACTCAGCCAAGGTCCCGTTAAAGATCTGTAGAGATGGGTTTGAGTAAAAGACGCACATGTCATTGCTCCGGAAAGAAAGCTTTGGGAATGGATTGAGGCTGCTGCGATTGCCTTTTCTTCCTGTATGGAGAGCTAATTATCAAATCAACACGTAGAACCAAATTAACTCGCTGTTGCGGCAGCCATGAGACAAAGCAGCTTTCAGCAGCTGCTTTCAGCTCTCGGCAGTACCACCTTCATGAGGCCTCTGTGCGCCTCGTCAGACGTGGCACTAACAAGAGGACCGTGCCGGCTGGCTGGCGCAGTTGGTTGGAGCATTGTCCCCATGCACTGGAAGGTGGCAGGCACGATTTCGGGTCAGTGCACATACCCAGGTTGTAGGTTCCATCGTCGGTTGGGGCATGTACAGGAGGCAACCGGTCAATGTTTCTCTCTCACATCAATGTTTCTCTCTCTCCCTCCCTCCCTCCCTTCCTCTTTCTAAAATCAATTAAAAATAAATAAATAAAAATAAAAGGATGACCACACACCTCTGGCAACTGTCCTCTGAAACCCTCTACTGGAATAATAATGTACAGCATGAAACACTGCTCAAATGAACTATAAGTACCATATTTAATCTCACTTAAGACGCCATTGACTGTAGGATATACCGTTGTTTTTATATAATACTGAGACACACAAAACAACTCTGCCAGCTCCAGGAGTAGGGAGGGGGAGGAGCCTTATCTGTTCTTTCCAGGGTATTGCACTCTCTCTCACTTCAAAATGCAGCCCCCACCCTGCCTTTATCTGTGAGGGCAGCCTCTCCCCGTCCCTTAGTCTGCAGTATTGAGGAACTCCACACCCTAGGCATTTAGGCTGCAACGTTTCAGCGGTGGACAGGAAACATGAGAAGCACCGGGATCTTACTATGCCAATCTGATGGTAGTATGTCTCCAAGTAGGTTAGAAAGCCAGGGCCACTTCCACCGCACCTCAGGTCGCCAGGCACGCCTTAGACATGCACTTGATGATTTTGTGGAGGTTGGCAGTTTTCGGATGAGCCACATAACCTTTGACCAATCAGTCATTTGGAGTTTGCATATAGGGTCTTGTCCTCTGGTGTGTTTTTAGTCACAGTTCACCGTATTTTATGCAAGAGGACATAAGTTTGGTGGCTTAGAAGGACAGACAGCTGAACTTGGTTTCGTTTATACCTTTTCCTTCCTCTTTCTGTGGTCCCCAACCAGCGAATATCTGGTCAGACCCTCCTTCCCACGCAGACATGCTTCTCCTTTTTTTTTGCTATTCTACACCTGTTCTTGGTAACATGGTTCCTTGGATCACGTTATTGAGGATTATTTATAATGTGTTTATCTTCTTCAATGTAACCTAAATGTTTCCTGTGTTCCAATTTAGTGTCATTCTTTTTTTAAAATCCTCACCCAAGGATATCTTTCCTTTGATTTTTAGAGAGAGTGGAAGGGAGAGGGAGAGACAGAGAGAGAGAGAAATATTGATATCAATGTGAGAGAAATACATTGATTGGTTGCCTCCCCTCCCACCCAAACCAGGGCCGGGAGCCTCCAACTAAGGTATGTGCCCTTGACCGGAATCGAACTTGGGACCCTTTGGTCACCGATGGATGCTCTATCCACTGAGCCAAATGCGTTAGTGCTAGTGTCGTATTCTTAGTTTTAGCCCCTGCTATTGGTTGGATAGTAACATTATCTTGGGTTTATTTATTATTACTTAATGTTTATGTGGTGTATTCTCATATTATCCCTGAGCACAAGTTAGGCGTAATTGTATGAAAAGACAGGGAAATAAGTCTGGGTAACTTTAGGAAATTCTGAATTTCATGATTTATAAATGCCTAAGAATTGTGTGGTTGTAGATGCTTTTAAAATGCAGGGAAAAAGATTTAGGAGGACAAGAGAAGATTTAGAAGAGGGAACTGGTAAAGCTATGGAGAAAGGAACACAAAGATATGGCTGATGTGGGCCCTTAGGTGCTTAGGTGCCAAGAACAATGATTTGAAATCTCATTTGGTACCTCCAATTTACGAATTGCTGTTGGGTGTTTTTCCTGTATGAATACAGAAGAATCATTTCAGTCATTTGTTATCAGTGAACATGTATCGAGTATCCCAAAATGTTTCTATAAACTTGGTGACCTTGCGCCTGAGGGCACAGGAGGAGGGCGTTGGGTGGTGGAAGTGGGTTGGAGCAGAGAAGGAAGGAACACCGGCTCTGGGATGGGCAGAGACGGTAAAATTTCAGCTTGAGCATCTGCTGGGTGTGACTTTGGGCAGGTTCATTGACCTTGGAGTGTCTCCGTTTCCCTCTCTGAAAGGGGGTTCAAACCAGAGGGAAGGAAAAAGCAAAGCGACTGTTACTTGAGAGGAGATTCCTGTTCTTTTCTCTCTTCTCTTGAGTCTCTCATCTCAGTAAGGAGAAGAGAACTAGGCACAGGTTTTTTGTAATCCTCACCAGGTCATGCTTAGAGATGGAGAGAGGGAGGGAGGAGGAGGAGAGAGAGAGGGGAGAGAGAAAGAAAAACAGAGAAACATTGATGTGAGAGAGAAACATTGATTGATTGCCTTCCCCTGACTGGGAGTCGAACTGGCACCTTTCGATACTCAACCAACTGAGCCACTCCAGTGGGCAAAGCTTGAGTTTTAAAAACCATTGTGCTAAGAAAGGATGTGTGTATATAAGGAGAGGGGTTGGTCCCAGACAATAGTGATTAAAAGTCCATGTGCTACCTGAGGACTGGATAAGATCCAAGGAATAGTCTAAACTTCCCCCCTTTTATCAGCACCATAGGAAATTAGCGCAGCTGTTCTTTGTTCTGGACATTGCATTACGTTTGGCGACTCGGAGGAATCTATATAAAGATTAATACTTTCTCCTTTCCACACATGCTTCCTAATAGCCCCTCACAAATACTATATTGGATTCCGGTACGTCCACCCTTTAACAGAAGAAGCAATTGAAGAGATGGAGAGAGATGGGCTTGAAAGGGCTATTGCTTTCACGCAGTACCCACAGTACAGCTGCTCTACCACAGGTAAGGGCTTCTGACAGTGGGAGGGTGGACAGGGCCCTGGCAGAAATAGCCAGGAAACTGAGTGCGGCAGGAAAGGATAAATCCTTTGTGATTTGAATGGCAAATCCGGCCTGTCTGCTTTAAACTCGAGAGTTCAGGTCAGTCCATTTGAAATCTCATGGTTCGTCTGTCCCTTGAGTTATTGGCCAGACTGCTCAGAATTACAAATGGTGGCGGAAGGCGGTGGCTGCTAGTGTTCAATGCTTTAATGCAGCGATTTCAACCAGGGTGCCCCAAGGATTTTTAAAACACGCAGCATCTATTTAGTCAAGGGCACTGACCTCTTTTCCCTTAGATTGTAAAACAAAAACAAACAAACAACAACAACAACAAAAAAGACAACAGCCAACATAACAGTAGCAGCAGTAGCAGTATGGTAGGAATGAATCAAAATTATACCTTTTTCTTGTCAGATTGGCAATATATATATATTTTTGGTGTGCTGCAGAATTTTAGTAATTAGTTTATATGTGCCTTGAAATGAAAAAGGTTGAAAATCACTGGTGTAATGGATCAGGATTAAGCACTTTCTATATTTGTATAATAAACTGATTGTTATGGATACCCTACTATTCTTATTAATGTAGCAAAGGTGATCACTGTTTACATTTTAAAAGCCCATAGAATATTGGGAATAGTGTTATTTTATTGTTGTTGTTGTTATGCTTCAGTTATGGGTTGGTTACTTGGTTAAATCACAGCCCAATTTGAGGTTTCCTCCGCAAACCTAGAATTCTAGATTCATGTTATTTCCTATATTTAACAGGAGCAGGAAAGTAATCTGCATTTGCCAATCCCTGTCTCATCAGTTGTGGGTGAAGCTTCTTCTGTCACCTACACATACATTTGTTTGTATTCTGTTTCAAGGATTGGGGTCAGCACACTTTTACTCCCAAACCGCTTTGGATATCAGTGTATATTACTGTGTAACTCTAAGGAGAGACGGAAGGCCCCTGGAAGACCTGCTGTGTGTAGGGCGCCTATGAAAACGCCTGAGCTCTCAGGCATCAGCAGTTGGCACTGCGATTTCCTTTGGAAATGTACCTCTCCAACTTCAAAATGTCCGGTGATATGCTATTGGAGACGAAATCAGATTTTATAAATACCTAAGCTATACTTTTTTTTTTGGCCTTGTTTTAAAAATATATCTCAACATGTAAATGCTGTCAAAATTAGACAACTTAAGAAGATCGTTACTTATATGACGAAGGATTGACTGTGGGTTTCATTACACAGCTGGCTCTATTCGTGTGCTTAAAACATCCATGTCTGTGCAGTTTTTCTCCAGTATACCTCATGTGGAAGGGCACGCACCTCTTCACTGCAGAGATGTGAAAGCCTTCGGGAAGCACATTCATTTCTTTGAAGCCACTAGAGTGTCGTTTTTCTATTGCATCTTGTAGACACACGTTGTGGCAGAGCCGGTATATTCTGTATATCAATCACAAGTGATTTTTTTTAGTTATACTTTCCTCTTAATTACTACTTCTAGTAGTTCATGGATGGTTCTGAGTGACCTAGGGCAACTTATGTGGCTTCCAGAACCTGGAATAGACTCAGTTTGGATTCTCCTGGTTCATTGTATTCTACTCACCAAAGTGAACTCATTTGTCTTTTTAAAGTTGAGTCTTAGCCTAAGAATATTCCTTTGATTTAAATATGGCTCTGTCCTGACTAGCATTATAAGTTGGAAACCTAACTGATGAGTAGTCTCATAGTTAGAAACCAGTGGATTGGTGTTGGGAAGCATGAAATGTTTTGGAACTTCTGCTCTACATTAAAATTGAGGAAAAGTCCTTGTGTTAGGATCAGTTTCATAGGATTAAGGCTTGGCCCCAGTTCTAGCTCCCCTAGGCCAGGATAAAATTGTATTGGGTTGGTACCATTTACCTCCTGTTAGGCTTTAAATTTTCATGATTTCCATCTCTTCCTTAGAAATACATGTTTTTCTTAGATTACCTGTAAGGTTTTCATACTCATTTAACTTATTCTAGGGGATGATGATAATGTTGTAAAAGCAGATAAAAAGAGAGTGCTCATGGAAACCTCAATAAGCTGCTGTTTTTATCAACAAGCCATTAAAAAAGATGGTTATAAAGCTTTTTTTATAATGTGGGAAATACTCTTCTCATAGTATTAACTAAAAATGCCCAAAATACTCAGGATACAAAGTTGCATACATATTAAATTACAACTTTGTAAAACAAGATAGCTAAAAGGAAATATAACTGGAAAGAACTATGCTAGTAAATGGGAATAATGGCTGTAAAATGGGAATAATGGCTGGCTTCTTTCCTTCTCCTCCACCCCCTACATTTGCTGCAATGGGGTTGATTACCTTCATAGTGGGAAAATAATTTCAACATGCTGTTAATTGTAAGACTTGGTCACTGCAAATAACGACCACTAGTATTTCATACATCCACTGCCATCGTGTTTCTCACTAGAGATAACCTCAATAATCTTTGAAAGGCCGTTGAAATGGATTGCTTTTCAGTGATCTTCATTTGCAGGGCAGTGAAGTCTGTATGCACTTTAGAGCATTTTTGATATGATTGTAATTAGACTGACTCAGTATAGAAGCAGTTGCCTATGTTGAACTTATACTTACGGCCTTTACTAGTCCTGTGTTCTTATTTTCACTGTAGTCAGTAGGCATCTACTAAGTGGCCCCTGCCTATTTCAGGGAGCAGCCTAAACGCCATTTACAGATACTATAATGGAGTGGGGAAGAAGCCCATGATGAAGTGGAGCACAATTGACAGGTGGCCCACGCATCCCCTCCTCATTCAGGTAAGCCGGAACCTACCGCAGCCCATCACAGTTCACTTCCAGGTGTCCCTCTGAGCCTCACGGTGCTCTGGCTTAAATTGCATGCTGGGGATTAAAAAAAGGATTATTGTGACAAGAGAAAATACATTTAAAGATTAAAGTTTAGACTCTCTTGTTTCTTCAGGTTAATACTGTTAGTCACAAATCATAGCAGAATTACATTTAGAGTTTTGGGTTTCCCAATGACCAGAAGAACGTTAAAGATTACGCAAGGTGTTTCTGCTAATGTACATTCATAGACTGAGTGGCGGACAAATAAACACTCTGTCTTCTAAATCCTTTAAAATATCAAAAATTTTAAAACTTAAAGGTATTATATCTACATGTTCTCAGACATGAAAAGAAATTTAACATTTCAATCAAGAAAGTTTTATATATTAGAAGAAATTTCAAAATTCTTCCATGCAATTTATATTTATAATATTTATGTTAATAGGTGACATTAGGAGAACAGTGAAAAGTATAATTCTAAAGCCAATGGCTTTTTGGTTTTAATTTTATTTTTCAGTTACAGTACATTCAATATTATTTTAGTTTCACATGTGCAGCATAAAGATTAGATAACCATATACTTTACAAAGTGGTCCCCCAATATTTCCAGTACCCACCTGGTACTGTACGTAATTATTATACTAGCATTGACTATATTCCCTATACCAGCCGTCGCCAACCTTTTGGACTTCACGGACCACCAGTTGGCGACTGCTGCGCTATACTGCACTTTATACCCCCTCAGATTATTTTGTGACTAACAATTTATACTTCTTAATCCCTTCACCTTTTTCAGCCACACCCCCAACCCTCCTCTTCTCTGGCAACCATCAGTCTGCTCTCTGTATCTATGAGTCTGTATCTGTTTTGTTCATTTGTTTATTTTGTTCTTTAGATTCCATATATAAGTGAAATCATACAGTATTTCTTTTTCTCTGTCTGACTTATTTCACTTAACATAGTACTCTCTAAGTCAGTGGTTCTCAACCTGTGGGTCGCGACCCCTTTGGCGGTCAAATGACCCTTTCACAGGGGTCACCTAAGACCATCCTGCATATCATATATTTACATTACGATTCATAACAGTAGCAACATTACAGTTATGAAGTAGCAACGAAAATAATTTTATGGTTGGGTCACAACATGAGGAACTGTATTTAAAGGGCCAGAAGGTTGAGAACCACTGCTCTAAGTCCATCCATGCTGTTGCAAGTGGTAGAATAGCTTTAACTAGCTTTTATTCATTCATTCATTCATTTTAATATCCTCTTTTGCCCTCTGAATACAAGAGCGTTGCTATAAATGCCCTATATCATGCAGATATAGTTTTGTTCTGCCAGTGGAAGTTTCTGCCTTTGAGTTAGTTGAGGTACGAGAAATATTAAGTGATTCAGATTTCACCCAGTTTATGTTTCATTCCTTGGACATTCTCTGACTGGCAAAATACCAACTTACTAGTGACATCTTTTTTAAAAGCCTGGAATCATTTAAAATCTGTAACCGCTAGATGGTGCTAGACATCATTAAAAGCAGGCCAGCTCTCCGTGAGCAGACTACCTTCCTTAGGCTTGTAGAAGTCAAGGGTTAACCCGTAGGTTGAAATTCGGTTTTAAGTCAAAAGTGAAAAGAAGACACCTTCCTAAGGATGGGTGTGGTTTTGCTTCGGTGTCCCCACTCGTCTGCTGGTCCAGTCAGTACCACCAGAGCCCCAGTGAGCTGTGACTCTTGCTCTTGGAGGCCTGGACTGGAAACGAGGGGTGTTTCAGGTCAGCACTGACATGTGGTAGAGAACTGCGGGGTCTGCGCAGCATCTGCCTGCCCTGATCCAGTGAGTAATTAGATTTGCATTAAAATTCAGCCATTTGAAAAGGGGGGAAGCAGAAAGATGGAAAGGTCTCTTAACTGAGGAAGTCTCCGTTCACAAAATGAAAGGGAATCTCAGAGGCATTTATCTGCCCCCTGGATGCTGTGATTGAAGGCTCTGAGAGCCGCCTGCCTCTTTCATTCTGCTGAGGGAGTGCATGGAGAAAATACCACAGATGGATTCTAGATGATTTAAGTAGCACTTGGGCTTACCCACGGCTCCTCAGTTTTGACGATGGCTTAGGGTCTGTTGTAAGCCGTAACAAATTGTGTTTGTACTTGCAGGTTTGCAAGAAGAGAAAAGGAAAAATATTAAACTTCTTTGGGAACAAAACATTGATACATAGATTTTATTTTTAATATTATGTAGATTACACGAGAAGGAGATTGGCTATCTAGCAGAAATAGAAAAAACACACAAACCCAAACCTAGACCCTAAACTAAAACTATAAAAATATAGTTAAAAACTAAAACTAAAAAATTTAAATCAACATTCCCACTTATTATAGGCAGCAATTACATAAAACGGTCATTTTACTGCTGTTACCCAGCTGTTGGAATGATTGGAATAAGTGGATGTTCTGGACTCCCACGTGAACTTTGCAGCGGGCCTCCTCATCTAGGCTTTTGTCCAGAAATAATCTTTTGTGAGCATCTTTAGTTTCCAAACACTGCAAAGACTACCAGAAAATCCTGTTTTTGTTTGCATCCACTCCTGTCACAACCTATAAGTCAATAATAAAGTTTGAAAAGGGAACTAACTCTCTAGGTGCCATTTTGTGCCCTGGGGCATTTATTTACCAATTTTTGAGGGTTCTGTAAAGATTAATAATATCTCAGTATTTATTGAGGAATAATTTGCTCATCCTAAATTGGTATATATCCACATACCAACAAGTATAAATATACATGGTTCTGGTAAATTGTCTTTTATAATGTTTTAAAAACCTTTTTATTTGGTGGGCTAGAAGGGGTCAATGGGAGAAAAAAGGGGGCATATGTAATACTGTCAACAATAAAAATTTAAAACAACAATAAAAAAACCCTTTTTATTTGGAAATAATTTCAAACATGCAGAAAAGTCTACTCTTTACCTAGATTCACATATTATTAATATTAACATTTATCTCTGTGTATGCATATATCTATACATCATTTTTTTCCTGAACCTTTTGAGAATAACTTTTAAACATATACAGTCATATATAAAATCACTCTTTATACCTTAATAGCAGGAAGATTTTCTCCCATAACCATGATACAATACTCAACTTCAGTCAGTTTAACATTGATTAATTTATCTAATCCATGTTTATATTAGAATTTTTGTCAATTGGCCCGTTAATGTCCTTTGTAGCATTTGCTTTATAAGTGAAATGACAAAGAATGATTAAAGTGTAAGATGAAAGAAAGCCTCCTCAGATCTGGTATTTCAGCACCTATTGATGTGAGTCGGAAAGTGCCAACTAGACGAAGGGAATTAACTGGTCTGGTCGACAGAGGTTTGGGGGAGGAGGTGGGCCTGTGTTCTAGCCCAAGTTCCGCAGATGTGACTGAACGGGCCCCGAAGCCGGCGCATCTTTCCGCCCTCTGTGAATTTAATGGGACTTTTACAACCTCTCATCTGTTGTTGTGAAGGTTGTTATGAAGATTGACTCAGTGAGGATATTGGGCTCAGAAGGAAAAGGTCATAAAAATAGATGATATTTTCTTATTCCTCTACTATTTCTGTCTAATGCATTTTAATGCAATATGCCTGAAAGCCAAACTAAGGAGATTTAGAAAGACCCTGTAAGCTGTTTTCCTGCTAACCGAGCAAATGAGAGGTCTTAAAACAACTTCTCCTTCCCATCTGTGTTTCCTTTCCATCTGGAAGTGTGCCCCGCTCCTCCCGGGGGACAGCAGATCCAGAGCGTTCATTTTCAGTGAGCCATTAGCGAGCGTTAGAAGTTTCCCATCAAATTCCCCAGGCCCCTGAAACCGTTAGGAGCCATTTTGATGATGAACCAAAGCAAGCGAGACCGTACTGTTTGCAATTTTTTAAGAAGAGAGTTCCGAGTTTTGAGGGTTGCTCCGGCATTTCTGGTGTGGCTCTCATTTTAAAAACACCGTCTTTCACTTCCACCACTTTCTTGCACTTGCTCCTGACCCTCCTCTCTCCGCATCCCTGCAGTGCTTCGCAGACCACATTCGGAAAGAGCTGGACTGTTTTCCACCCGAGAAGAGGAGCGAGGTGGTCATTCTTTTTTCTGCCCACTCACTGCCAATGTCTGTAAGTAAGAACATTTTGTCGGATGACCTCATGGTAGAGGATTTCTCAATGTGTAACATGGACCCAGTTTCTACAATGTCCTGAATTCTAAAATCTCAGACTTAATGTGGTGCTCATTTAACTGATTCACTTCTTGAGACCTAATAATGATTCATTCTAATTATAATATTTACAATTTATAATACTGTGTAGAAATCATAACAATCTGAAGATATAGTCACATGTAAGGATTTCTAGTAAGTGGCACAGTAGACTGCTCTGACTTGTCTGATGTTTTGGCGGCTTGACCGTAGGCCCTCCATTCAGACGGAGGGCTCTCAATCTCACTCTTTTGTCCTCAAGACTTGACAGGGGTCTTCTGAATTCCAGGAAGCGAGTACAGGTGGTTGTTTTATAATCCTCACCCGAGGATATGGTTTTTTTTAAAAAAAATATATTTTATTGATTTTTTTACAGAGAGGAAAGGAGAGGGATAGAGAGTTGGAAACATCGATGAGAGAGAAACATCGATCAGCTGCCTCCTGCACACTCCCTACTGGGGATGTGCCTGCAACCAAGGTACATGCCCTTGACTGGAATCGAACCTGGGACCCTTCAGTTCGCAGGCCGATGCTCTATCCACTGAGCCAAACAGGTCAGGGCTGTTTTTGTTTTTAAGATTGATTTTAGAAAGAGAGGAAGGGGAGGTGGGGGGGGGGAGAGAGAGAGAGAGAGAGAGAGAGAAAGAGAGAAAGAGAAACATCCATTGGTTGCCTCCCATATATGCCCCCACCGGGAATTGAAGTGGAAACTTTGGTGTAAGGGACGGACACTCTAACCAAATGAGCCACTCTGCTGGGCACCATTAGGGTTTTTAACTTGCTAAGACTAAGGACCACGCTTGGGCAAGCGAATACGAGTGTATAGGAACAAGGATGATGCAGCAGGTATGCCAGCGTGATACATGGAAGTGCTTGTAATAAGCAGCCAGTTTCATCAGCTCAGAACTAGCATCCTGTCCTACAGACATTGCTTTCAAAGCTGGAGAGGTGGAGAATTTCATCTTCGTGGGTGTTATCAAGGTTTTAATTCCAGGGCTAATGGAGTTAATGAGAGTCTCGGCCACTCTTCTAATTGGTCTTTACTGCCACCTTGTGGTCACCAGGGTCGAGCCCTTTGCAGCTTTTCCTACTCCTACATCTCAGCTAAGCAGTTGCCCTTTCAGCAGTATGTGGCCCTGGAGATCAATTTCTCTCCTCTGGAAGCCTGCCTGTTTCATTTGATCAGGTTTCTAGTCTCTTTTTCTGGCATTATGCAAATCCTCTTCACATGTCCACCTTCCTTCTCCACCCTCATCCTATTTATAACTGTCCTGGTGTGTTGAGGCCACGTCTGAAGTGCCAGAAGGGAGGCGCTTGAATTGGGAAAGGAAGAAACACATTTTTACACATGAACGTTTCCAGGTGCTGCCTTCTGTTCTCTCGCCCTCGGCCCCACTTCTCCCTCCACCCCCCCGCCCCCCAGGTCTGAGCATGCTGCTCCCAGGTTTTTTTGCTGCCCAGGGTTCTGTGTGGGCCTGAGGAATGCCATGAAGTTATTACGGTAAGAAAGGGGTGGGTGGAGTGTGGGATTGCCGAGGAAGAAAATGGATGTAGCAGCCACTTGTACCCCTATGCTCCCCTCCCTCGCTTCATGGCTTTTTAAAAACGAACTATTTGAAAACATTTTAGATTTACAGAATCTTTGCAAAAATAGTGCCATATCCCCTTCACGTGGCTATGCCTGAGGTTGACGCCTCACATAACCATAGTGCAGTGGTCAGAGCAAGACCTGAACCATGGGCAGCACTGCTAACCGAAGGCCAGGCTCTCCTCGGGGTTCACCACTTCTTCCACCAGGTCCTTTCTCGGTTCCCGACCCAACCCAGGACCCCTCCTCACATTCAGTTGTCCTGTCTCCTTGTGTCCTCCCATCTGTCTTTGTCTTTCATGACCTTGACAGTTGTGAAGAGTGATTTTGTAGAACGTCAGCTGTGATGTAGCATGCTCTCTTGTTTGGACGTGTCTGGTGTTTCCTCATGATTACACCGAGGTTGTGCCTTGGAGGGAAGGAGACCCCAGGGGTGACCTGTCCTCCTCAGAGCATCATCTCAGGGGTACGTGATGACAGGTGTGCCTTCCTGCTGGTGTTATGATCGTTGGTCATTTGTCAAAGGTGGTGTCTACTGGATTGTCCATGGCGCAGTCATTCTTTTCCTTTTTGTAATTAAAAAATACCTTAGGGGAGAGTCTTTGAGACTACCCAAGTGTCTTATTTCTCATATTTTTGCCCCGCAATTTTAGCATCCATCGCTGGATCTTGCCTGTAGCAATTATTTCTGTGCTGCTCTGATGGTGACTTTATATTTCCCTCATTCCTTCTACATTTATCTTTCTAATGGCTTTTTAACTAATTTTTAGTAGATCATAAAATAGTTCATCAGTATTTCATGTCAGCAGTATTTATTGAGCACCTATTATATTTCAGACACTGTTCTATCCACTGTCACAGGATCTGGGAATGAACAAAATAGATATAAATGTTTGCCCCCAGCGAGTGGGGGAAACAGATAATAAACATAATACATAAGAAAATATTGTGGTATTTTAGGAGGTAATAAGTGTTACATTGAGGAGAAATATAGCAGGGTAAGAGTGTTAGGGACTCAGCATGAAACTAAATATTAAAGCAGTAAAAATACAATATTACTAAACACTTTCAAGGTATTAAGCTGTTCTGACTGTCAGAAGCGTTTATCAGACATTTGCTGTACACAAAGCATTCGTCTGTAGTCCATTGTTGTAGGAAGAGGAATTGGAAGGCATAGTTAAAAAAAGAAGGAGGAGGAGGAGGAGGAAGAAGAAGAAGAAGGCGGCACCAGTCATATCCTTCAGGACCTTGGAATCTGAGCCCATGTGCTGCTTCTCTCGTCTCTCTTCTTCCACTGGCGTTTACCCTTTTCTTCCCCTGAACCCCCTAAGCTCAGTTCTATACACAGTCTCCTTTCAATTCCTTTCCACAGTCAGCCACTCCAGTGACTACCAAGGTAGAAGTCTCATCCCATATTGACTCCTGCCCAGCTCTGTGTCATTCATTGCCCTGTTACAGATGGGGGCACATAGAGGCCCATCCTCTATCGTTACACATTGTCAGTTTCCCACAGATAACGTGGGGCATAGAATTTGACCTTTTCTTAGGGTCCTTAGAGATGATTGACCCTTGGACAATGAAGAAGTGGATTCAAGGAAGTTTGGCAATTGAGCTCAGATTGTGTTGTCTTTAGTGAAGAAGACAGAAGGGGAGGACTCCGGTCCAGGGCTTACCTCCTTCAACTGCGCGTCCCAGGCTCTTGGAACCCTTCACAAGGTTGTGACTGACACCCATGTGTCTCTGCTGCAGGTGGTCAACAGAGGGGACCCCTATCCTCAGGAGGTGGGCGCCACTGTCCAGAAAGTCATGGAGAAGCTGGGTCACTCCAACCCCTACCGGCTGGTTTGGCAGTCCAAGGTGGGTGGCTTCCGCACGTTGCGGGCAGTCGGCTCTTTCGAGGACACCTATTTTAGGACTTAGTTATGAAACGGTGAGATTTGGCTGTTCCATACACACAGACTGTGTGTAACCCGATGGCTTACCATGGGCAGAAAGAACTCTGCCCGCCAGTCTGACGGGAGGGGAAATCGAGTGACTAGCTGAGTTCCATTGACTCACTGTATTATTTCCAGTTGTAGTGACAGAACTGGTATTTATAGCCTGCCAATTTCTAGAAGGATTCCAGCTTCAATGTGGAAATACCAAAACCCATTAAAGCAGGTGGAAAGCACGGCCCTTGCTCTCAAGGAAGGTGTGTGTGCTGGGGGCAGTGCGAGGCCCGACAGCGGGAGAAGTGGGGCCACTGGGCACGCATCCTCCTTTCTCCTAGGTTGGTCCGATGCCCTGGCTGGGTCCTCAGACAGACGAGACCATCAGAGGGCTTTGCGAGCGGGGGTGGAAGAATATCCTCCTGGTCCCCATTGCGTTTACCAGCGATCACATTGAAACACTGTATGAACTGGACATCGAGTACTCTCAAGTTCTAGCTAACGAGGTAACGCTGCCGTCTGCCTTATTAATCCCACTGCGATTGGTTTTAAAGGGAAACTGTCTGTCGGGATCTAATTGTGTCATTCAGAAATACTGTGTGGTATATGTGTGTGCAGGTACTCTGTCCTCCTTGCTCTGAATAATACTTAATCTGAGTAAGAAATCTGACCACATTCAGTCAGTCCCACTTCTGCGGTGGGGAAGCACTTTTGTGCCGTTCTGAAACTGGGCCCATTGTGGGCAGCGTCACTGTGTTTAATTTGGGTATTGTACCACTTGAAAGTAATAAACACTACATTTCCTTAAGAAAAAATAATTGCACTTCTCACCAACCTGGAGGAAAAAGATTTTATTGTTATATAATTCCTTTTCTTCACTTAATAGTTTCCCTTGGGTTTCGGAGGCATAGAGGAGTCATCGTCATTTAGGAAAAGAGCATGTAATTTCCTCAACCACCTTTTTTATGCACTTAATTAGCTGTTTACTCCTGTGTTGTTATCAATCTGATTATTGAAATAACAAATACTATGCTTAGTGTCTTGTAATGCAAGATGGATGAATTGTTGTTCAGAGTGGAGAAAAACTATGGCTCACCATCTCACGGCTCCTGAGGGTCAGCCTGAAATCTGAGTCCAATTTATAGCATTGTTTCTGTGGGAATTGTGGAGGCGCTGGGACCAAGAAGCCCTCCCCCCATCTTCTGCCAGAACTCCCGTCCCTGGTCATCCAGTGTGATTGATGGAGGCCTGGCCTCGAAGGATCCTTCACCCTCTCTGGGATGGGGTGGCAGGTGCAGTGCCGGGTGGAGAGTGGGTTGGAGGCGAGCTTCAGCCAGTACCCAACCCCACAGGTTTTTGTGTACATGCAGGCCATCAATCAAGTGCTGATGAAGTTAGAGGGTGCCTAAATTACGTGTCAGTAGTTCTGATAAAGAATTTATGGGGACGTTGTAATTGGCTAAAATGAGGTTTCAGGGCTGTCCATGGATTTCATTTAACGATGCCTTCTGTATGCCACCATGACCTAGGCTAACTGTGAGCTTGTTGAAACGGCTTAAGTGCAGCGTGTACTTTTTTGTTTGTATTGAATGATAATTCACATTCATTCATTTTACTAAACTGAGGTCATTCCTTAGTAAACACATCTTAGTAATCCATGGATTATTAGCGACCAGTAAATTAGTCCATATAGAGAATAAAGACAACCATCTAGCTACAATTTATTTTATTATTTTGATGGGAGAATATACTGTTTAAAACAACTAACTTTTCTTTAAAAAGTAGTTTGAATGTTTTCCTCAAATAAAAATAACTTTACTGCTTTTTGATAATAAAAACAATAGAGCTCAGACAGTTGAGAGAAGTATAACATTGAGAGTAGAACTCACTCAGAATCCTACACTTCAAGCATAATATGTTAATTCTTTGGTAAAAATAAGACCTCTTTTTCCTCTATATGTGTGTATGTATATTTTAATTAAAATGTTATTCTTCTGCATGTTTAACAAAATGGCATTTTATTCCTAATATTTTGTAGCCTTTTTTTTTCTTAAAAATATATTATGGACCCATATCAATAAATAATTATATCTAAGTAATCATTTTTAACAAATTCTTAATTAGTATACATTAAAGATGTTTCTAATTTTTTACCGTCATATACTGCTCTGTGATAAACATTTCCTTTTTTATTTTTCCCATTATTTTCTGAGGATACATTCCTAGAAATGGAATGTAAATGTTGACATATTTTACCTCATTTCCCTACAGAAATGTGTCCTTTAATGCTCCCATCAGCAGTGTCTGAGAACACTTGGCCACCTCTGGTTACCCTGCTGGTACTGGCTTCTCCATGAAGTTTTAGACTACAGTCTCTTGTTGAGAACTGTGTGTTTGCTGAACCTCAGCATTTCCCCCATACCAGTCCTCTGATGTTAATGCTGACTTAAAAGATAAAGCCATCAGCATTTTGGGAAGGGAAAGAGAAGATCCTAACTACCTGAATAAATAATAATGAGATATTTCTCACTTATTTGGGGGATAATTAACTAGATATCTTTGGAGAGGAGAGCAGGGATGGTACTGAAACAATGCTCAGATTTTTATTTTAGGTTTTTAAAATGTAAGGGTATAAAATCCCAACTCTAAATTGGATCCCATCTAGGTTCAATTTCATTAAATTAATTTACCTCTTTTGACACTTGGAATCAAAACAGGTATAAAAATACACTTATGTCAACATTCTGCTTAGGTAGAGTCTATAAAGGTGTGCATTAGAAAGATACAATTTAGAAAAAGAGTGGTAAGCAGACTAAAATTACTTGGGAGTTCTATCAAATACACCCTCAAAAATGGTTTGGAAACAAAGCACCTATGGGAAGGTGCTGGGTAGGGGGAGGAATAGAAATTGAAGAGCCATTTTATGATAATGGTTGAAAATCAGCATGTGGCGTGGTCCTGTGAATGTTTCATTTCTGAGCAATGTTAGAATTCTTTTGAAGTAAGACTTTGAATTGTGTGTGTGTGTGTGCGCGTGTGTTCCGTAGCAGTCAGTTTCTTAAAAAAAAAAAACCCACAAGGAAAATAAAACGTGTATGTGTTTTTCCTCCCTTTTCTCATTTGATTCAGTGTGGAGTTGAAAACATCAGAAGATCCGAGTCTCTTAATGGAAATCCATTGTTCTCTGAGGTATCTCTGGAGTTACGAACCTTTTAGTAGAACATATCAGAGAGTAATCCTCTGAGAAACTCGCTCCGAATATTGGTTTTTCTCACATATTAGAACATTTTGAGGTCCAATTAATTACAAAAATAAAATCGAAATCCTTCTCCTCTCAGTCCTTTTTCCTTGAGATAGCCCCCATTGTCTGACTTCTATCCACCCACCACTGTCTGATTTAAAATCTGCCTTTCAGAGACCAGCGAGGTTCAGCGGGCGGGGGAAGAGGATTTCACTCTCTAAAGTCTCTATTTTAAGTTTTCTCCAAGCTGAGGATGCTTGGGAGAGAAAGACATTATAGAATGTGGTTCAAAGGGTTCATAATTCAGATTAAAAGAAACCCCAAGCCATAGTGATTATCAGGACAGATGGGAGAGGAAATGCATGGATGGGGGAGACAGCAGACTTTTTGTTCTGATGAATCTTTGCCTCTTGTTACCCGCCTTGCAGGCCCTGGCCGATTTGGTGCACTCACACATCCAATCAAACGAGCTGTGCTCCAAGCAGCTGGTTCTGAGCTGCCCGCTCTGCGTAAATCCTGTCTGCAGGGAGACTAAATCCTTCTTCACCAACCAGCAGCTGTGACACCCGCCAGAGGACCCCGTGGGATTAGGCAGATGCCAACCTGCAGATACCTCTGACTCGGAGGATGCATTGAGAGCCTGAGGAAGGGGGTCACATTAGGGCACGGGCAGCCTTTGGGCACACATCCTGTGATTTCTTGAGGAACGACTCTGAAATCCCGATTGAGGGTTTTCTACTTTATATGCCAATGCAGTAAACACGTATTAGTAAACACAAGTTTCTCATTGGAAATGGCCACTATGCTATTTAAACACTGAATTTTAAAAATGTATCTTATGAGAGGCACACATATTTTAAATATAGATTTTGGTTTTATTGCCCCCCAAAAACCTGCAAGGGGACGGAGGGTCCCGGCTGTGGGCTGTCAGTGTGAATGAGGTCTGCTTACAGGCCTCATGCATATAGTTGTTTTGTTTGTTTTTAAGTGGACATAGTTGAGCAAATGCAATATAATTTGAAAAAGAAATGTTACCTAATCTTTCCTAGGCCCGTGGGTTACAGGATGCTGGTGAGGGCCGCTTTTGCCAGTGCTGTGACCTTTCATGGTTATTTGGTTCTAGTGTGTGAACCTCTCTTTCCTCACCATCAAACCAAATCCAGGCAGATTCCAAAAGTGCTCTGAGCTTCCGAGGCGCACAAGACTGATAAGCGTGTGGAAGTCCAGCCTCTGTCATTGGTGGCTGGAGGGAGTCTGTGCCACGGGAACAGGGCTCCCGCTGCCTCTTGTCTCTGAGGACTCGAAGCCGGGGAATGCTGATGGTGCCATTCACTGTTCAAGCTCCTCCCAGGACCCTGGACCTTTCCCTCAACCATCTTCTTTATCTTGGTTGACTGTCTCCTTTCTGCACATTGTTTGAAGAATTGTTTTTATAAAGTTAACTGTGTTTCGTAACCTTGAATTTTCTTAATTTACGATTTTAATTACAAAATTATATTACATGCAATTGGAAATTTGAAAAGTAGAGAAAAGAAAAATAACCATTCTAATGCAGCAGCTAGTACATCATATTATCTTTCATGTCATTCTTTTCCTGTGGGTGTTTTTAATGCCATTATAACCTTGAATCTGAGTGAAAAGTTCTAAAAATGTAGAAATAATATAGGATCAGAGTCTGATCTTCTGTACTTGGATTTGAATGGATTAAAAACGTCTGATAGATCCATAATGAATTTGTAATGATTACTTTGTCTTTCCTCATTTTCCTAAAACTTTGTTCTTCAAAAGAGCATTGCTTTGATTTTGTAAAAATCCTGTTCATGAAGTGGAAGTATTAATGGAGTCATAGATCTTCTATATTCAGGATTTACTATATTAATCAATATTAGGACATTTTAAGGTTTTAACCATTTTGATTCATGCTCTCTGTTAAATCAAAACTAATCCAAATTAGTTAACAATCAAAATTATTGAATAAGGACTTACTTTGTAATGCTTGTCTACTCTAGTTCATAGTTTGCTCACACTGATAATGGCTCTGAAATTTAAGTAGCATCTATATTTTTTTCAAATTGGTTTTGCTATTCATAGATTATCTTTCTAGAGAAAGTACAAGGTAGTTCTTTAGAATTTTCCTCATCTGTTTCCATCAGCTTTTTGGGGAGTAAGTTCAAAGCAGACTTTGAGTGGCCGTCCCACAAGAATTGAATTCTCTGGGTTAGTGGCCTGGTGCTGAGGACAGGTTATGCTTGTGGCCATTCTCCCCCCCACCCCCACCCCCAGGACATTTCCTGAGGGCTTACCTCACTTGGACTGCTTTAGAGTCAAATATATTATTATAGAGATGTTATAGAAAACTCCAAGAGCTCTTGAGAGGGTACCTGAGTCCCCTCATTTGCTAAGGAAGCTTCCAAATTACCTTTGAGCTATCTGTAGTAATATCATTGATTCTGAGTTGGGACCTGACTGGCCTTTGTAGCAAGAGGCTAAGGGGGATTTATTGGGATAATTGTCTATGGCATTAGTTCTAAGAAGTGTTAACTTTCATTTATTAACCAAAGATGGGTAAGGGTCATACGTGAGGGTACTATTTGGTAGGACAAACTCAGCAATTGTTCTTTTTAAAAAATATATATTTTTGATTTCAGAGAGGAAGGAAGAAGGAGAGGGAGAGAGAGAAATGGAAACATCAGTGTTGAGAGAGAATCATTGAGTGGCTGCCTCCTGCACGCCCCACAGTGGGGATTGAGCCTGCAACCTGGGCATATGCCCTTGACTGGAATCTGACCCACGGACCCTTCAGTGTGCAGGCCAACATTCTATCCACTGACCCAAACTGGCTAGGGCAGCAACTGTTCTTTTTAGAGCTAATAGGCTTTGAGAATTGTTATCTTGTTTGTCAACTTTGAAATAAAAATGTTTGCCCTGGTAATTAGCGATGCACTGTTGGCAGTTTCTTCAAGCTGCACTTAGGTGCAGACCTGGCTTTAATTGATGAACCAACTTGTACAGAAAACTTGCAGGAGCTGCGATGATGAGGCAGTTTAGCTTGCCAGGGTTACAGAAGGCCCAGCCATGTGTACAGCACAGAAAGAAGGAATCTTCTGAAGAATATGCAGTCTGGAACTACTTACCTTTTTAAAATTAAAAGAAATGTCAACACTCAAAATTTGCTTCATATCGGGAGAAATGAAACTTGTTAAAAAGCCCTTTAAAGGTGTATCGGTGACATGTTATGCTGACTGAATAGTCAAAATCCAGGACTTCTCCTTGGAGTACACATCCTTGCTCAAGTAATCCCATGCACAGAGTATAACCTTCCTTTAGGATTCTGACACATCTTTCCTTCCGGCTGAAATTATTCAGACAATGATGGCTACATAAGTATGCAGAGAAAGTGGACTTTCTGCTCCACGATGCCCAAACTAAGCCTGTCAGAAGGTGCATTATATTAGTAATCCTAAATTTATGTCATTTAATTGTTTAGCTGCTCTGTAAAAATATATATTTTTTCCTTGATGAAAATACACTGACTTGATGAGTCTCAGAATGAAGTCATTGCATCCCACCACCTTCAGCTAATCTGTTCTCTTCAGTTGGGTATTTTATTCAAGAAACCCTAACTTAAGGTACGCAAGAGAGTGTTTGCTCAATTTGATGCCGCTGTTTATCCAAAACATGCTATTACACCAGGAGGGTGAGCCCACACCACTCACTGAGTGGGGCAGCAGGAAGACCACACCCTCCTGAACATAGGTAAGTGCGTGGGTCTGCAGACCTCGGAAATCTGTGTTTGCTTGTCCGTGGGGATGCGGAAGGGGTAAGGGGACAACTTGTGTAGCTGTAGCTGGAGGGAAGAATTTAGAGCTGACAACCTTAAGGAAAAACATCTGTGTACATGCGCACGCGTGTGCGTCTGTGTGTGTGTGTGTGTGTGTGTGTGTGTGTGTGTGTGTGTGTGAAGCCTAGAGCCTCTGACCACATCTCCGAGCTCTTCGCCTTGCCTGAAAGACCCCTCTGTCGGAATCCTGACGGTGGCATTAGAAACAGGTTTCCCAACATTAGGTGGACATGGGAAATCCATTGAGGTGTCACAAGCTGAAAAAGAAAATTATGAGTCGGCCCTAAAATTAGTGCCCTACATTAAAATCATTCAGAGTCTCAGTCTAACCACCAGTGTGGGCAATCCTCAGAGGAGGGCAAATGCTAATCATTGATGATTTATAACAATTATAAAATTAAAACATTTTGTTAAGGTTGTGCCCTAGAAAGGCTTTGCAAATATTATTCCAAGGAATTCCATTCTTAGTGCCCACTAATTGAGATCCCTATGGTACCGAGCTGGTGATGGGTACCAGTGGGCACTTGAGAAATGAGTCGATGCTGCCAGTATTTGCTGAATGGCACTGAGGTAATGAGAGGTACCGGGTGGGACTGACCCTCGGTGGCATCCCCCCGTCGTGAGATGGTTGGCCGTGCTCTGGGAAGTGGGTGCCCTCTAGAGAACACAGCCCTAATGTAGGGCCCAGGAGAGGAAGAACTGCTGTTGCTTTCACTGTGGGAATCAGATTAAGCCTTTCTACAGGGAAAAGGAAGTGGAAAACAAATGCACCCTGTGATAATCAGTTTCTTACAGTAAATATGCTTTGATAGTGCTGGCTTAGTTGTTTTTAGCTGAAATCATTAGCTTCTATTTTTAGTGTAACAACTACTGGCTAAATTAGTCTACAGTAAGCCATTAAGATGGATGTTGGAATTAAAAACATTTTTGGAAAAAAGCCTGGTTTGGGCCTTTATTAGGAGCCCTTGGGCAGGAACTGGGTCCTGTGTGGGGCCGCTTGAATGCTGTCTCTGACCTTCAGGCATTTGGTCTTAGCAACCCGCCTCTGAAACGGGAGCCCACAGGCCAACTTTTCCCCTTCCAGTCCACCCGATGGGTTGAAGTTATACTTTCCTAACATGTTAAGAACAAATATCCCTAGCTGGTTTGGCTCGGAGGTAACCAATTGATGTGTCTCTCTCACATTGATGTTTCTCTCTCTGTGTCTCTCCCTGTCCCACTCTCTCTAAAAATCAATGGAAACATATCCTCGAGTGAGGGTTAACAACAACAACTAAAAAACCACACGCACACACAAAAACAAAATAAATTAGTTTTAAAAAGAAATTATAGATTTTACCCTGAGAATTCATAAAGTGTTCTGTATTCCTATCTTTTCCTCATTTAAAAAATTATATATATAGGACACAATAGGCTGCACAAACCTACAAGCAGGGATGTGCTGGATCATGAGAGTCAATTGTTAAATTTTCTGGTGTGAAACAGCATTCATTAAAAATTCATAACTTGGAATTAAATTGTATTAAAAACAAAGGTAACATAAATTTCACCACTTTCCAATTACTTTACTATACTTTATCATCTTTGCTGTAGAGGTTACATATGTCTATTGGCCCTATATGGTAGACATCTATATATATGAAAGGCTAATATGCAATGTGTTCCCTCAGGAGTTCGACCAGGAGACCAGGAGTTCAATTGCTCCCTATGACATTCACTGACCACCAGGGGGTGGCACGGAAAGAAGCAAGGCCCCGGCCGGCAGCTGGAAGGCCCCGATTGGCCCTGATCACTGGCCAGGCCTAGGGACCCTACCTGTGCACGAATTTCGTGCACCAGGCCTCTAGTACTATATAATGACCAGCTTCTGTGCCTCTTTCCAACTTTAGTGACATCCCATTTGTGGCTTGAAATCGGCTGTTATATTGTGGAATTCAGCAAATACTACAAATGAGTACTTGATTTGTTGCTTATCTAGACTTAAGAAAGTGATGGAAAAAATGTTAATAATGCAGATTAAATGTTGTGTCTGTAGACATTACATTATGAATTGCACTAAAACTAGAACCTTCCATTATTTGAAAACTATTATCTGACTTATCCAACTGAAGTTTCCACATACAAAGATGCTGTTTCACGTTTGCATTATCATTAATGTAAACATTGATATTAATGTAAACATTCATGTCAGTACTACATGGTTGATTGGTTACAACATGGGCTGACTACAGATTTGTTGGCTGTAAAAATCAACAAATCATTCTTTGAGAATCCAGTGACTACATGGAATTCATAGTAAAGAGCATTGTGCTTAATTATTATTTGTGAATTGCGTTTCCTACCTCTTTTATACATAAAATTTATAGCAAATATACACCCACACATACATGCATCGGTGGTTTTTTCAGAGAGCTGGTTGGCGACCATTTCCCAGCACACCACTGCCTTACAGGGACCTTTTCTGGGATGATGGAAATGATATATGTGGACCGCACACTTGTATTGTTCTCCAGATTCATTATAGAGAGAGGGGCAGCTCTCTCTATACATCACTGTCTATTTAGAGTGGAAGCTACCCCACGGTGACTAGATATTTTAATCTTTTTAGTAAGATTCCAATTGTCTCCAACAAAACCCCATGGGCCTGCTGCACTAACAGGATCCCTGAGAAGAACCCTCAGATGGCGAAGGTCTGAAGAGCAGGTTTCCTCCCATTTCTCATCTCAGGGGGCCCTGGAGCCTGTCAGCGAGGGCCCAGGCTCACGGGGACACGAGTCTCCCTCCGATGATCAGCTGTGGTTCTCTGGTCTCGCAGGGGTGGTTTCTTCCATCCGTGCCTCCTGTGGGCCAGACCTTAGGACACCCGTGACAGCCAGAGACTGAGGTGG